TGTGCTTTGTAATACATTGAATTCATAAGAATAGAATATATTTAGCTTCTGTACAACATTGATTGTAATAATTTTATATTATAAATAAAGTTACATATTTATTTTCTACTGTTAATTAAAAATGTCTAAACGTAAAGATAATTCTGAATTATTCTCAAAGGAGATTCCAGAATTTACTAATGAATATAGAATTAAACGTAGAAATAATGGACATAAACAATACGGATTTGTATCTGCATTCCTATACGACAAGCGTATGAATAAGTTTATATTTGAATCACGCGGGCACAGCAATTCACAGTACAAATCTCAAGTCTCCCCTATTGGAGGAAAGCGAGAAATGTATTTTGAGATTCCGAAGAAAACGATGGATGGACTAAAAACAGGAAATGAGATTCAGTTAAAAATAAGCAAAGAGGATATCGAGAAAGTATTCGATATACCAGACGGATTTGATATCGAACATGTTGTTAAATTAGAGAAATGGGATACGATTACCGGTGATGATTTACTAATCTATGATAAACAATACGAAATGCTATACAAACAAGAAGATATATTTTCCGCTATGTCAAGAGAAGTTTTTGAAGAAACAGGATTAGATATCAAAAAGATTTCCTGTGAGATTAAATACTTTGGGTTTGATAAAAAGATTTTTGAAACAGATGGAATAGTCACCCATGTATTTCTAGTTATCTTCGATAGTTATGATTTCATTCCATATTCAAAGGAAAGGAAAAAGGGCAATGAGGTGATTGCTATGAATCTATATGATATTTTAAAGAAGTTAAATGATGACAAGGGCAAAGAAATAAAACATTTCACTCCAACGATTGAGAATGTATTCGAAGAAGTAAACAGTTATTGTAAACCGATCAGGAATGAGATAATCTTATTCGGTGGACCAAATTCTGGGTTATCGGAAGGAGTCAAGATATGCACTGCATTTTTCAAGAGTATCGATCTTGGAGTATCCAGTACATTAATACTACCAGAATCTTATCGTAATCGAAAGGGTTTAGGACCAGGCCACCTCTCGATCAGAGATTTATACCCTGAGCATTACCATGCTAGGGATGAGCCAAGAGAAGCCCAACAGATGTGGATCTTGATGGCTTATGATTCTATTGGTAAACTTCTACGTGGTGAAATCGAATCAGATGTTGGTAACGAACCAATAGTAATTTATGAAAGAAGTCCAGGATGTGTGAATACTTTCAATCGAGCATATGGTATATCCACATTTCCATTAAATGATTTGCACAAACCACATGATTCAAATCGACTTGATATACATATATCTCCTGAAGATAATGAGTATGCGTTCACAATGGCTAACGATCGCAGATCATATTCCTCTGACACACAGAAAGCCTACAAACAAACTTATGAATTATACGAAAAATACTCACACTTAGAATACCCTAACAAAGTAATTGTGAAGAATGACTTTGGTAAGAAATCAGCAGACTTTTTTACTAATGAATTAGTATTGGCCATTGAAAATCACAAGAT